AGAAAGAAAGAAAGAAAGAAAGAAAGAAAGAAAGAAAGAAAGAAAGAAAGAAAGAAAGAAAGAAAGAGGGTGGTGGCCGGACACGCAAGGGGGAGCAGGGACACAGGCTGCACCCTGGCAGACTCTGCAATGAGACAGTAAATGCAACCCTTGGTAAGGCGCACGGCTTGCTCGGGTTTCCCTCTTGCCCCAGCTGCAGGCAAGCTGCATGAATTTCGCTTGTCTTTTCTCTCCCCTCTCCAGAATGAAAATGTCGGTGGTTTTTTTTCCCTTTGCATCTGGTGGGCGATGTCAGTCCTTGCGGGGGCTGGGGGTGGACCACACGAAGCTCCCAGATTTCATGTTCCAGGAGGGCTTTTTGCAGGAAAATAAAAATACATGGAAGTATGGCCAGGCGTGGTGGCACACGCCTGTCATCCCAGCACTAGGGAGGCTGAGGCAGGAGGATCGTTGCAAGTTCAAGATCAGCCTGGGCTACAAAGTGAGCTCAAGGCCAGCTTGAACTGCATAATGAGACCCTGTCTCAAAAAGACAAAAAAAAAAAAATGGAAGTGAGTGCAAAAAAGAGAGACAGAGACAGAGAGAGTGAAAGAGGGCGGAAGGGAGAGAGGGAGGCAGGCAGGCAAGATGATTTGGGAGAGGAAGCCTGGTTGGAGGAAGTAGGTCAATGGGGGTGTGGCCTGGAAGAGTATGTCTCCCTCCCTCTTCCCTTGATTCTTCTCTGCTTCCTGATTGCCATATCATAAGCAAGCTTCTTCTGCCATGCTGCCCCCTGCCTTAGAACCAGCCAACTATGGACTGAAACCTCTACAAACAGAACCAAAATAAACCTTTCCTCCTAGCTTGTAGGTGCTGGGTACTGTGTCTCAGCAACAAGTAACTAAGATTAGGGTCATCTGGGCAGTCCTGGGGCCTGAGTCCAGCTCTGAGCACAGCATTGAGTGGCAAAGGGAACTGACCAAGAGCAAACAGAATTTTGCAGGGTGAGGGAGCTCACTGAGGACCCAGTTATCTTTCTTACAGAGGTGACTCTTGTCCCTCACCAAGGGACTGAGGGTACCTCTTTCTTATGTGGCTCCTCTGAGCTACCAGCTTGGCCCCAAACAAGTAAAGGCTGCTAACTCATGTTTCTTTGAGTGGTTTACAAATAAGCAGGGCATCTCCCCAAAACTACACTTGGCTTTCTAGCTCATCCCATGGATGCATGGCTCATACAGGGCCTCACCCAGGCCTGCACCCCATTCCCTGGAGATGGTTAAAACAAACAGCAACATCCACCCTATTACCCTCTCTGCTGGAGAACCAGGGTGCTCCTACCCTGGCCACCAAGGTAAGCTGGAAGGAAATGCCACTGTGAGGTTCAGTGGTGAGGGAAGCCGGCCCAGTACAAGGGACCAAGCCCTGAAGGCTCTCTGGGGCCTCACTGGCCTACATGCTGGGGCCAGCTTCAGGAAGGTGTACTGTCTGGCTAGAAGACACCCATAAACTCTCCCACATCTAAGGTCTGGGCACTCTGGACATAGCCCCAGACATGGTCCACAGACAGGCCACAGACGAAGGCCCTTTTGTCAAGACCCCCTGTCTTGCTTACTTTTCGAGTTGCTGAGACAAAATACTTGACACCCAAAGATAAAGGAGGAAAAGCTTATTTCAGCTCACAGTTTGTAGAGATTTCAGTGTATAGGCATCGGGCTCCAAAGAAGGGTGGCATGGCAGAGGGGCATCACAGAGAAGAAATAGGCCATGCCAAAACGGGGCAGGCAGAAGGCAGCAAAGCAGTGAAGTAGCGAAGCAGAAGCAACAGCAAGCCTTCTTCCTGTTCCTTATATTCCATCCATGTTCCTCACCCTTTGGGCAGTTACTACTTACAGCTAGGGTGGGTTATCCTTAATCCCAGCATCACATCCTTAATCCTACCGTCACACACCCTAGATGCAGTCACCTCTGAAAAGCCCCAGGTATGACCACAAGAGGCTGTGGAGGGATATCTAGATACAAGCCATAACACCCCTTCATAGGCCGCACCTGTACCCTCCTGGGAGGCTGGCCAAAACCGACACCAGCTGTGCTGCAGACATGCGGTAGGAGGGAACCTCAGCTGCCACGGTGACAGCAGCAAGGTGGCCACAAGGCCAAACATGCAATGCTTTCTCCGCTATGCAAGACAGGATCTGTGCAATGAAGTGCCAGGGAAGCTAGTTCAGCAGCTGTAAGTTCAATACTGTGTTTGCCAAACGGGCCAGGAGTGGAACTATATCAGATTGTGATATAGTTGTGATATAGACACCAGATTGTGTCTCCTGCTCAGGAAAAGAAGGGTCCATATGGCTAAGGAGGCCTGAGGGACGAATACTCCCCTCCCACCAGGTGGCCATGAGGCCACACCTCTCTCCAACCAGAAGTCCTGGAGTCACGGATCATGAAGCTCTGCTGCTCGCTTTGCCCCTTTTATATGCAAAGGGGCCTAGCCAGGTGTGGTGGCGCACACCTGTAATCCCAGCACTCAGGAGGCTGAGGCAGGAGGACTGCTGTGAGTTTGAGTCCAGCCTGGGCTATAAAGTGAGCTCAAAGCCAGTCTGAACTACACAGTGAGACCCTGTCTCAAAAAAAAAAAAAAAAAAAAAAAAAACCCAAAAAACAAAAAAGCAAAGGGCCCTGGACAGGAGGAGAAGGGTACAGTAGTAGCCAGACTTTGGAGAAACAGAAAACACGCATGGAAGAAGCACAACTCCACCTCTAAATGATAGGGTCACAGTGATTCTTTTTAATTGTCTTTTCTTTGTAAAAACATTTCCACCATGTCATGATGTTGCGTGCCTATAATCCCAGCACCTTGGGAGGCTAAAGCAGGTAGATTGCCAAATTCAAGGCCACCTGGTCAATTAAATAAAAAAGGATTGGGAATGTAGCTCAGTATGAAGGTCCTAGGTTCAATCCCCAGTCCTACAAAAAACAAAACAAATAAAGAAACAAACAAAAAAAGCCAAATCCAATGCCTAAATATTTTTATAGTAAAAAGATTATCTTTTAAGAAAAATGTATATTCTGGCAATTTTTTTTCTTTTCCTTTTTTTTGAGACAGAGTCTCACTATGCAGTTTAGGCTGGCCTTGAATCCACTGCAGGGCCCAAGCTGGCCTACAACTCACAGTGATCCTCCTGCCTCAGCCTCCCAAGTGCTGTGATTACATGCATATGGCACCACACCTGGCTTTGGCAAAATTCTGTAATCTGTGGTTACATATGTTTGGGCAGGTTACAGTCACTGCTTGGTCACTGCTGCTAGGGAAATGGGGTGACCAACAGGCAATGTGCAAACAGCCTGGTCCCCAGAGGAAGAGCTGGACTGCTGGGATCACTGGATGCAGTGCTCTTAGCTTGGCCAGTGGCCCTTACGGTGTGGGATGGAGAGGTTAGAGGCAGTTCTCCAAAAATATTCCCTGACTATGAATACAATATTTAGTATAAAAAGTGTATCCCAGCCAGGCATGGTGGCACATGCCTCTAATATCAGCACTGAGGAGGCTGAGGTAAAAGGATTACTGCATTTGAAGCCAGCCTTGGCTATGTAGTAAGTTTAAGGACAACTTGAAATACATAGTGAGAACCACTTGAAAAAACAATCAGCCAGGTGTGGTGGCCCACACCTCTAATCCCAGCACTCAGGAGGCTGAGGCAGGAGGAGCTCTATCAGTTTGAGGCCAGCCTTGGTTACACAGTGAGTTCAAGGCCAGCTTGAATTACAAAGCAAGATCCAGTCTCAAAAACAAAACAAAACACCAAATCAAAACAAAAAGCTGTATCCCTCCAACACCTGCCAGAAACTTGGGCAGAGACCAAGGTCATTGGGGAAGACCTAGAGGCACTAGATCTCCTGCATAGCCGGGCTGGGGTGTATGTGCCCACTGGATATGGGAACCTAGTACAGTGTGGGTGAGAGAATCCAAGGATATAGATGACTCCAAGAAGCAGGAGAAGCACCTCACCTAGAGTTTAGCAGAGGTAGATTCCAAATTCATCAGTTGCTTGATATCATTTGGGAATGTCAGCCAGCATCCACCATCCACCACCAGCACAATCCCCGTCACATAGGAAGCCAGAGGGCTAGCCAGGTAGAGCACACTGTGGGCGATCTCTGTCTTGTTCCCCATCCTCTGCAGGGGGCTCTCAAGGACCATTTTGCTCAGCCTGGCCTGGGGGCCACCTGGAGAGCAGCAGGAGGCTCAGACCCCAGACAGCCCCAGGACCCTGGGACTTTCTACCCTAACTAGCTCTTTCCCTGAACCACATCTGGAAACAGTGGAACAAGAAAGTGGAGCAGGCAAAGTAGAACATGAAAAAAAAAAAAAAAACTTGAGCAAGAACAGGACACAGAATGGCTTTTCAACCCATGCCAGGGTTCTGGAAGCTTCAATGGATGGCCTATCCCCTGGGGTTGGAGATGCACAGCAGGCCTGGGCTCCCCAAGAGCCTTACCCAGTCGCCGGAGCCCCTCTGTGCCACTGATGGGGCCAGGGGCAAGGCTGTTGACACGGATGTTCTGGGGACCCCACTCCACAGCTAAGTGTCGTGTCATTGCATCTGCATGGAAGAAGGGGAGACATGCAAAGCCATTTTGCCTCCTAGTGTCCGGGGCAGGGGTGGCAGTGGTGGTGGTGGTGGCTCAGGGCCAAGGCCATGCCTCTCTGCTGCCCACAAGTGGACTCTGGCTCATGTGAAGCCTCCAGGATGGTCAGCAGAGGGAGCCACTGGAATCCACATATAGGCAGACCACAGGGACCATACCCACAGCCGCCTTGGCACAACCTGCGTGCACCTGTAGCACCTGCCCCCGGAGACTCAGGGTTGCAGTGATGTTCACAATCACTCCTCCATGGTCCTGCAACACACAAAAGGAGAGGGTGGTGAGGGAGCAGGCAGAAGTAGGAAGGCCATGACCCAGAGGACACTCACCTGGAAGAACTTCTCATAGAGCACACGAGACACATTGAAGGTGCCAATGGTGTCAATTTCAACTACAGTCTTGAAGGCGTTGAATGACAGTGCACTGGCAGGGCACAAGAAGTTTCCAGCTGCACCTACAGAATAGAAGATGACAGAAGATAGTCCTGGGATGGTGGGACCCTCGGTGGCCAGAGGTCCTGATGGAAGGCTGCACAAGAGAGCCAATCCCCTGTGAGCAGTGACAGTGTAGAGACCCTCCGCCTGATCCAAGCTGAAGAAGATAGATCAGGTACTGGGATAAATTCCTGAATGACAGAGTAAGACACGATGTTGTTCTCCTCCAAAAGCAGGTTAAAGTCCTAAACTTCTGAACACATGAATGTGACCTAATTAGAGGATAAGGTCATCTTTGTTTTTCAGGGTTTTTTTGGTTTTTGTTTTTGTTTTTTTTTTTCTGGTTTCTTTTTGTTGTTGTTTGCTTTGAGACAGGGTCTTGCTATATACTTTAGGCAGGGTGGCCTTGAACTCTGTATGTAGCCCAGGTTGGCCTCAGATTCCTACTGATCCTCCCTTCCTGAGTCCTGGGATTACAGGTATATGCCACCACCTCTGGCTCTTCTTTTTTTGTTTGTTTTTTTTGAGACAGGGTCTCACTATGTAGTTTAGGAGGCTGGCCTTGAACTCACTATGTAGCACAGGCTGGCCTAGAGCTCGCAGTGATCCTCCTGCCTCAGCCTCCCTGAGCTGGGATTACAGGCATGTGTCACCATGCCCAGGTCTTTTTTGTTGTATAGGACAGACTCTTGGTATGTAGCCCAAGGTAGACTCAGACTCTGTAGCTCAGGCTGGCCTTGAACTCTCATTTCTCCTGCCTCCACCTCCCAAGTGCTGGGATTACAGCTGTGAGCTGCCATTCCTTTCTGAAAATGAGGTCTGTGCAAATGTTAGCAAATTCAGATGAAGCCATACTGAATTAAGTTGGTTCTCAATACCATGACTGTGCTTTTTTTTTTTCTTGTCTGATATGTACTCTACTTTTGAGCCATATTCTACCACTAAGCAATCCTCCAGCCCCATTATTTTTCTTATTTTTTGGGGGGGTGGTGCTGGGAAGTAAACCCAGGGCCTTTGCACTGAGCTACATCTCTATCCCTCTTTTTATTTTTATTTTGGGACTAAGTGACTAAATTGCCCAGGCTGGGCTTGAACTTGCAATCTTCTTGCCTCAACCTCCCAGTGCTGAGATTACAGGCATGTGCCACCAAGCACAGCTAAAGTGAGAATTTGAGGACCCAAGGGCATTTAGTTACATTCATGAGAATACGTTTGATCATATGGAAAGAGCAGAGATGGGCCAAGACAGACACTGGGAGCCTGGCTCCTGCCTCAGATGCATGGAAGGGCTACAGCCCAGCTGACACAGGTACCTCAGCTCTCTAGCACTGTCCCTGCCCCAGGACCAGAGCTCTAGGGCCTCCAACCATCAGAAGCCTCTAGCCTTCCTCAAAACCAACTCACAGTTAATGAGGATGTCAATTTTGCCAAACTCCTTCAGTGCCTGGTCCACAGCAGCCATGATGGCTGCAGGAGCTCGGACATCCATGGATAAAGGGAGGCAGCGCTGGCCAGTGGCAGCAGTCAGCTTCTTAGCAGCCTAGAATCCAGACAGAAAGACAGTGGGCAGTAGTCCAGCACCCTGGCCCTGCACCATTGACCTTTAGAAGCCAATGAGGACAATGTGTCCAGGTTCTACTGGCACCCAGGTTTGCTACTGTACTCTACTGAGAAGATATAGCCAACACGTGGCTACTCCCTGGGCCATGAGCCCTAGTGGTCATTTGTAAGATGTTCTATTCTCTCTACCACAGGCCACCTGCCCCAGATTCCTGCCTCTTCACCAGCTCTAGGCCATCCTTGCAGGTCAAAGGCACCCTCAGCTGAGGCCAGCAATGGCATCAGTGAGACACACCTTCCAGGTGAAGAAGCAAGGTTAACTTTTGATTTTCATAGCCCTGAGTTTGGTGGGGGCCAAATTACCTCCCAACATGATTATCCTCACAGGATCCAATAATCAGACTTTTTTTTTCTTGTCCTGGGGATCAAACCCAGGAGCACTCTACATCCCCAGCCCTTTTCATTTTTATTTTGAGGTAGTGTTTTGCTAAGTTGCCCAGGCTGGCCTCAGACTTGAAGTCTTCCTACCTCACCCTCCTGGGTAGCTGGAATGACAGGCATGTGCCACTATACCAGCCCAATAATGAGACTTCCAAGAAGCCAAGGTTGTCCACTGAGGCTCCATATTTGAGAAGAGAGGAAGTTTTGGTGTTACCATGCCCTGAGCCTCAGGATACTCCTAGCTCAGCCTTGGATTCCCCACAGCTGCCTGTTCAGGTCCTCTCACCATCAGTACTCTCGGCAGACTCCTGCTGACGATGACCGTTCGGCAGCCATGCCTGCAAAACCACATGGCAGGCATGAGAACAGCAGGTACATGATGGGCTCCTCCACGGTGGAGGAGCTCCCTCAAGGGTTTCTTATGTAGGGATGTATGTGAAGGGCTAAAGTATGGCTGGAGAAGGCACAGGGACCCAAGCAGGGATGAGCAGATTGAGGGGCCTCAGATGGGAGCCATGGTTGCCCACTCCTCAGTTTCTGGACTGGGCCTCTTTGGCATGGGGTGTCCCTGCCACACAAGGAGGCAGACCTACCCCAAACCTCATATACATGGCAGAGAGGCCACAGTGAGCCAGATATCTGTGTGGGGCCTGCTGGGTCCCCTGGCTCAGCCCTGCATGCTCCAATCCCCCGCCTTGGGGAGCCAGAAAAGACAAGAGTCCACTCTGAGGCAGGCTGTTTCCCTGCCCATCTGCCAAGCTCAGCCTTACGGTGACAGCAATGGGGCAAATAGCTGCAGAACTACATTCACCAGGGCTACAATGTCCCATTTAACCCTCAAAAAGACCCTGACAGGAGAATGGCTATGTTCTGGTGAGAAGCAACACACGTAAGGCCATCAGCTCCAAAGATGAGTCTACTTGGAATCATGAGTCCCAAAGCCTCTTTCTGTTGGGAATCACCTCCTGGCCTGAAAAGGGCTAGGGGAAAGGAGCAGGGCCTTTCTTCCCCTACCTCATCCTAACTCTGAGCTTCTACAGGGTGGGATGGTTTTTGACACATGCCTGAGGCCACAGAATTTGTGTCGCATGAGACACTGAATTCCACACAGCACAACAGTCTGTCCACCCACTCTTTTGAGGCCTCAGGAGATCCTAACACAGAACCACAGTTTCACTGACTTCTAAAAGACTCCAGAGTCCCACCTCCCAGCAGGGTCCAAGTAAGGGGAAACAGAAGCAGGGAGGGCCGTGGAATGTTGCTCACCGCATAAAAATCTCAGCAATCCGGAACCCGATCCCAGAGCCACCACCAGTGATAAAGGCCACTTTACCCCTGCCCCAAGAAAAAAAAAAAGAGGTCACTGTTGTTTTAAAAGGTCACTGCTGCCGGGGAATATAGCTCAATGGCACAAGTGCCTGCCTGGCAAATGCAAGGTCCTGAGTTCCATTGCCAGTACCAAAAAATAAAATAAAATAAAAGGTCACTGGTGCGGGGCGTGGTGGCGCACACCTGTAATCCCAGCACTTGGGAGGCTGAGGCAGGAGGATCGTTGTGAGTTTGAGAACAGCCTGGGCTACAAAGTGAGCTCAAGGCTACCCTGAACTGCATATGGAGACCCTGTCTCAAAAACAAACAAACAAAAATCACTGTTGCAGGGCATGGTGGCACACGCCTGTAATCTCAGCAATTGGGAGGCAGAGGCAGGAGGATTGCCACAAGTGTAAAGCCAGCTTGGACTATACAAGTTTAAGGCCAGCCTAAACTACAAAGTGAAACCCTGTCTCAAATTTCCAAAAATGAGAAAAAAAAAAAACAAAAAATAAAAAAACCAGGGGGCTGGCGATTTAGCTCAGTGACACAGCACCTGCCTGGCAAGAGCAAGGTCGTGAGTTCCACTCCCGGTACCAGAAAAAAAAAAAACAAAAAACCAAAATTCCAAAAATGTCAAGTTACTGAGTTTGATTTTCAGTCCAAAATAAATAAATAAATAAAAGGTCACCGTTGACTCAAGAAGAGGAGCAGTGGTGTAGCTGGTGTGGCGGGACCCGCCCAGGGCCAGCACATTTTTGGGGAGGCATTATTGGCCAAAAGGAAAACTGTACTGTAACAATTTACTCCGTTTTAACACAGAGGAGATTTGAGTACATCAAAATACTAGTTTTTTGGTTGTGTTCTTTTAGACAGGGTCTTACTATGTAGTTCAGGCTGGCCTCAAACTCGTGGTCATCCTCCTACTTCAGTTTTCCAAGTGCGAGGATTACAAGTGTCCGCCGCCCGCCTTAATTTTCTATTTAAATCGGTTCACATATTCAGGTATGTCGAGGGTGGCAAAGTGAAGGCCCGCAGGAGCGCACGAGGGCAGGGGTCAGGGTTCAGGCAGACTTTGACTCCCTGAACTAGGCCTTCAAACCAGTACGATTTTGTAAGAAAATAAAACGTCTTTTTAAAAGCCTGTCATTCCTAGGCCTTCCGTGGTTATTTCCTAGTTCTTCGGAAAAAAGGTTTTCAACTTCAAATTTTCTACTCAGAAAGTTGAGACCAGTTTTCAAAACATTTAACTTCCTCCCACACTCTCTCTCCCCTCTCTGGAAGGATCCCCAGGCTCGCAAGTCAAAAGCAGGCTTCATTGTGAGGATCCCAAGACCCCATCCACACTGCCGGCCTCGCGCAGCGGGCAACCCACCGCCCCCTGCCCCGCGTCCCGCTCCGGTCCCCCGCTGCTCCAGGTAGCCCCGCTAGGAGCTCACTGGAGAAGGTCCGGGCAGAAGAGGTGGCGGTAATCAGGGAGACAGTCATCCTCTTCAACGTCGGGCGGTAGTTGGTCCATGACTCTCGAGGAGGGAAGGGGCGGCGGAATTCTCGCGGATCTGCTGCAGCCGAAGAAAGAAGTCAGGGGAATCGGCAAGGAGCGCAGGCCTGGCCCACCGCGGGAGCACCGCCCCTCAGCCCTCCTCCTGAAGCCCCGCCCCTCCGCAGGGACTCTTTCCCCGCACCTTTCCAGAACTCCCACCCGAGGGCCACGCCTCCAACCAGGACGCCCCGCCCACCACGACGCATGGCCTCCTGGGACTGGAAGTGGGCGGGGCTGCGCGCGGCAGCGCAGGCACTTTGTGGCACTGTGTGCGCTGGTTGAGGGTGAAGCGCCAAGGTCAGAGATGTTCCCTCCAGTAGTCCGTTCCGCGCACTGGCCATCGCGTGCGACCGTTGAAGCTGGCTGCACCCCACAGACACTCTCCGTCACCGGACTAAGGCTGGGCTCGGTGCAGAAGGCCTTGCCTCCTGGACATGCTTCTAGGTGGGCAAATATGAAAACAGAGATTTGAGCCAAGAAAGCAGCTCCCTCATGTGGCCAGCTCGGGGCCCAGCTCCTAAAGTTACCGGCACATTAGCCCTCATCCGCCATGGCCACTCCAATCAAGAACCAGGACATCTGTCATTATGTCAAATGCTGATAGGCAAATCAGCCTCATAATCTGTCGGCTATCAAGGCCACAGAGATGTGACTTGACCCAAGGATAAAGTGTGACCCTCGTGTCAACATGAAGATAATTGGATGTCAGGGAGCCCCCTTCCTTAGTATACATCAGACCATGAAGATGAGAGGACCATCCACTGTGTCTTAGGGCGGGCTTAGCTCCCACATCTCTTCTTGCCACCCTGCTTCAGCAAGCCCAGATAGGTGGGGGCTAGGATAGCATCAGTCAGGAGCTCAGCCCTGATTCCCCCAGATTTCAGACTGCAGGGCCCTGGACTCTTGCCTAGTTCACACATTCACCAAATTGAGGGATCCAGCTGGGCGTGGTGGCGCATGCCTGTAATCCCAGCACTGGGGAGGCTGAGGCAGGAGGATCGTTGCGAGTTCAAGACCAGCCTGGGCTACAAAGTGAGTTCAAGGCCAGCCTGAACTGCATAAGGAGACCCTGTCTCAAAAAAGACAAAAAAAAAACAAACACAAAAACAAAAAACAACAAAAGTGAGGGATCCATTCCCTCTTGCATATTTAATTCAGTGAGCTTCAATTTACAACTTCCATAAAACCATCACTGCTGTCTCAGAGATGGCAAAAATCATAATGAGCACACTTCCATTCTAAGAAATGAGTTTTAATGTTTCTTCTTTGGGGCAGGGGAAGTCACCTTTGAAGATGCCCTGAAAGTTGTGTGGCACTTTGACACAGGATGTGGTCTATTTTGTGCTAGCTTAGGACACAGAAAGGCACATAAAGTTGGGCCCCAAACTCCTGTGGGCTGGTGGGGCAGAAGGTGAACAAGGAAGTGGTTTAGGAGAGATAGGAAGGATGTAGGCTTGAGTTCTTGATGACCGAGGTAGTTGCTCCTTGGTGGACAATGGAGTGACAAGGGTGGCATGAGCCCTCAGGCTGGACAGCTGCTGCTATGGTGGCCACCGTCTGCCCAGTTCACCAGCTCACTATCCTGGAACCACAGCTGGATCTCCCTCCGGGCTCCTTCCACAGAGTCGCTGGCATGGATGATGTTCCTGTGCCAGGTAAGAGGTGGCAAACGTAAGGTTCAAACTTGAGTGTACACCCTGGGCCTTCCTCTGTCCAGGGGAGAAGCAGATGACTGTGCAAAGGGGAAAGACTAAGAGAGCTAGAAAACTGTGTTCCGGCCTGGCCTCAGCCTCTTACCCACAACCTCAGGGGCTACCCCATATCCCAACTTCAAGCTCCTTTCCACAGGAGCTGCCCCATGCCAACCCTCAGGTGCTTGGCAAATAAAAGACAATGACACAGTATACACACAACAAACAAAGGGAATGTGTCATCTCTTTGAAAAGAGACAACAGTTGTGAGAAAACTGTTCTAGCCAGTGTTGGTTGTGACATCCCAGTATCATGTCCCTTCTGGCTTCACCTTTAGCCAAGCAAGGTAACTAAATCTTGTGACTGTGCCTTTGAAGCAGCCATCCCAAACACTGATCCTGAGTGATTGTGTCAGACCCCCTATACCTGCTGATGTGAATGCTGAAGTCTCCCCGGATAGTTCCAGGGGCAGCCTCAGTGGAGTCAGTGTGTCCTATCATCGCTCTTGAGACACGGACCACATTGTATCCCTCCCAGACCTGCAGCATAGAGTAAATGTTGGGTGGGGAAACACTGGGAGTCCTTGGGCTCGATCCAGACCCTTCCCCTTTGCTTAGAGGAGAACACACCCACCACCCACCTCCCACTGCCTCTACCAAACTGTACCATGGCCACCACAGGCCCAGAGCTCATATAGCTGATGAGGGCTGGGTAGAAGGGCTTCCTTTGTAGGTCCTGGTAGTGCTCAGCAAGGATGTTCTCAGGTGCCTGAGTAGCATTGGGGAAGGAGAAGAGAAGTCCCTGGAGATGAATTCCCCACTGGTCCCGACCTCAGAGTACCCTGCAGATAATACCCGCACTGACTGGCACCCCCACCACAGCACAGACACCTCCCCACCCCTGCAACTGCCAACGCCAGGCTGAAATGTGAAGGGCTGAGAATGAACCTGTCACCTCAGCACACCACAGGCCCGGGGCTGATACCTGCAGCATCTTCATCCCAACCAGTTTGAAGCCTCGCCTCTCAAAGCGCTGGATCACAGTCCCAACGAGCCGCCGCTGGACTCCATCTGGCTTCACTGCCACCAGGGTCCTCTCCTGGGTCCATGTGGGCCCTCCTTTAAAAGACAAGGGGCTGGAGCTGCCACTGCCTTACTTCCTCATGCCTCCCTGACTGGCTTCCCCTGCCAGGGGCCCGACATCACCAGGCTTCTGCCTTTGTGCAGGAGAGCTCTACAAGGAACAAACCTAGTGCCCCCTCTGGCCTTGCCACTCAGGAACATCCACAGCAGTCTATTCCCATGGGCTTCTTTCAAGCAGTAGCCAAAGCTGCCCAAGACTGAGCTGGTTTCCCCTGAGAAAGAATCTGAGGAAATCCAGAGGACAGGGGCTGGGGATTTAGCTCAGAGGTACAGGGCCTGCCTGGCAAGCACAAGGTCCTGGTCCTGAATTCAATTCCTGGTACCAGAAAAAAAAAAACAAATCCAGAGGCCAGAGAGCCAGGAAATGCTCCCCAGAGGTAAACTTGACGCGGCGCATCAGGCTTCTGTCCTCCACTGCTGACAGTATCTGAGGCCCAGGCCAGCCACCCCCTGGAAACAAGGTGAAGGAATGGTGCAAACTTGGGAGAGAGGAAATGCACTCCCTTCAAGTGGGCAGGACAGAGACACAGGGGGCTGAAGATGCAGAATCCCGCGGCAGCTGAGAGAGGTCAGGTGGGAACTCCAATCCCAACCCTAGTCAGCCTTGAACTCCTGTCTGGGGCAGGAGGTGTCTTCACCCACCTGCAGCCCCAGGCACTCCCAGAGCGATAAACATTTTATTCCCGGGCAAATGCTGCCTTTGTGTGCGGGAACAGGCTGCCTGAAGGCCAGGAAAAGAATCCTCCTAGCTTGTTTGTTCCCAAAACCCAGCTCACAGGGACCCCAGTCTAGCCTGGGGCTCTGAGGCCCGCCTGTCCACGCACTGGAGGAGGCAGTTTACATGATATTTGGCTCCTGGGAAGCATTCTGTATTGGGCAGTCAGCGCTGGGCCTCAGGCAGAGGTGGGCCCGGCGGTCTTAGGCCTCATGTTCCAGCTTGGTCCGGAACAAATGTCCGGGCGACAGCGGCTGCACGGAGAGGCTTCCTCTGCTTGGACGACACGAGGCTCCCAAAGCCACAGGTCCACTGGGACCCTCATACGCCCACTGCGCCCGCCCATTTTGCTTTTTTTCTGCCTGGGGGCCCTTGGTTACCCCAGATCCGGGCAGCTAAACCCGCACTTTCCCTTCCCGCTGCCACATGAGCACAAACAAAGGCCGCAGCTGCTCGCCAGCCCTGGCGGGGTTCCACTCACCCGAGCTGGGCCGCACAAACAGGCGCAGGCCCGGGGCGCGCGGCCCGCAGAGCAGAGCCCGCAGCGCGGCTCGCCCGAAGAGGCGGCCCATGGCGCTAGCCCGGCCGGGTGGGGGGCGGAGGGTCGAGCGCAGAGGGCTGAGGGCGGAGGGAGGAGGGAGGAGGACGGAGGGCGGTGCGCTGCGGGTCCGCCCCCTGACCCCGCCCCGCTGGGAGCCCCTAGACGCACAGAGGTGCTTGTATCATTTTCTCTTAAAATCAGAAGAAAATCAAAATTACAGTATAACTAACGAATCCAGCTTCGATTATTTTGGTCTTTACATCAAGGGCCCACGCAAGTCCTAACTTGCCCCATTTTGCGCGGCATGCGGCCCGGCCCTGGGTTAGCTTCTGAGCTGCTGGAAATGACGTCCTCCATCAGAGGAGGGCGCTAGAGACAACCTTAGCACAAAGCAGTCTCTCAGTCTCTGAGTCCTAGAACTCCAAGGGGAAAGATCCGTTGTTTGTTCTCCGCTGGCCTCTAGGGAGTGCGTTCTGCTAACTCATTGCAGTATGAATGCAAAGGACAAGCCACAACAGCTGCAGGAGCTGTGACTTTATCGCGAACAGAAACCACAGTTCCAATAATGAGATGCCATGAATGGAGATCAGCACATCCCTGAAAAATCAGGAGAGCTACCTCTAGATCTTATGGAGTTTTTGAAAAAGTATTTATTCTTTTAACTGTAGAGTATGTGTAGTTCAGGCTGGCACTGAACTCATGTAGGCCAGGCCAGCCTCGAACTTGCAGCAATCCTCCTGCCTCAGCCTCCCAAGTGCTAGGATTTTAGGCATGCACGACCATGCCTAACTGGAATTGTTTTAAAATTGATGATTGTGGGCCCAGCATGTAGCTCAGCAGCACAAGCGCCTGCCTGGCAAATGCAGGATCCTGAGTTTCCAAATGCAAGATCTCGTACCAAAAAAATAAAGCTGCAGGTTGCAAGTGTATAAAATACATTTGATTTCTGTTTTTGTATTTTTAGGGGGGGGGGGGTTCCAGTACCAGGAATTGAACTCACGACCTTGTGCTTGCCAGGCAGGCGCTGTGCTGCTGAGCTAAGTCCCCAGCCCCTGTATTTTTGCTTTTCTGAGACAGGGTCTCACTATGTAGTTCATGCTGGCTTTGAACTCACCATGTAGCTCAGTCTGGCCCAGGCTGGCCTCGAACTCCCAGTGATACTCAGCTACTAGAGTACTGGGATTATAGGTATGCTCCACCATGCCTGGTCAATACATTTGACTTTTTTATGATTTGTATCTTGCAACCTTGCTGAACCTATTTATTAGTTACAATAGATTTTAGTGGCTTCCTTGGAATTTTCTACATAAACAATCCATGTTATATGGGAATATAGTTTTTTACTTCTTCCTTCCCAGTCTGGGTGCTTTTTCTTTCGTTTTCTTGTTCAATTGTTCTGGATAGAATCTCTGGTGCAATAGTGAATAGAAGTGGCCTTTTTTCCAAAGTCTTAAAGTGAAGGTTAGGCTATTGATCTGAGATCCTTTTCTCCTCCTTCTTCTTCTTCTTCTCCTCCTGCTCCTTCTTCTTTTTTGTCTTTTTGAGGCAGGGTTTCACTATGCAGTTCAGGCTGGCCTTAAGCTCACTTTGTAGCCCAGGCTGGCCTCAAACTCACAGAGATCCTCCTGCCTCAGCCTCCCGAGTGCTGGGATTACAGGCATGCACCACAATGCCCAGCTTGAGATCTGTCTTCTTAGTGTTGGCCATCATAGCTATACATTTCCCAGTAAGCAATGCCTTAGCTGCATTCCATAAGTTTATTTTGTGTGTGTGGTACTGGGGATTGAAACTAAGCTACATCCCCAGCCACCAACCCCCCTCCTTAAAATGTTTAAATTTTGAGACAAGGTCTCATTAAGTTACCCATACTGGCCTCGAACGTGTGGTCTTTCTCCCTCAGCTTCCCAAGTACCTGAAATTACAGACCTCTGCTATTGTGCCCAACTGTTTATTTTTTAAAATGTCTTTCGTCTTGGGGGGTCTACATTATAGGATAGGAATATAGGCATCCCAGTTCTGTCTATATTGGATATGAGTTCATCATACACAGTACATCCATTTACTTCTTTCTTTTTTTTTTTTCTTTGTGGTGCTGGGGAACGAACCCAGGGGCTTAGGCATGCAAGGCAATAACTCTACCACTGAGCCACATCCCCAGCCCCACATCCATTTACTTTCAAGCCATCCATGTCTTTGTATAAATTCTGTCTGAATAGTTGGGAGTTGCTTTTTTTTTTTTTTTTTTAGATTATGTCTAGCTAAATTGCCCAGGCTGGGTTCAGACTTGCAATCCTCCTGCCTTAGCCTTCCAGAGTACTGGGATTACAGATGTGTGCCACCACATCTGGCTGGGTCTTGCTTTAAAAAAAAATCGCTTGGGCCTGGTGGCACACGCCTGTAACCCCAGCACTCAGGAGGCTGACACAGGAAGGTTTTTTTTTTTTTTTTTTTTTTTTGGTCTTTTTGAGACAGGGTCTCACTATGCTGTTCAGGCTGGCCTTGAGCTCACTTTGTAGCCCAGGCTGGTCTCAAACTCACAACACAGGGAGATAGCTCAGCGGCATAATGCCTGCCTGGCAAATGCAAGGTTCTGAGTTCGATTCCCGGTACTAAAAAAAAAAAAAACTGTTTTAGCCAGGATGTAGCTCAGCAGCAAAGCGCCTGCCTGGCAAGTGCAAGGTCATAAGTTTGATTTCTGGTACCACCCCCCAAAAAAAGTTAAAGAAAAAACCTCAATGATTCTCCTGCCTCAGCCTCTAGAGTGCTGAGATTATAGGCATGGGCTACCACACCTGGCAACTGGAGGATCTTTGCAAGTTTGAGGCCAGCCTGGGCTACAAAGTGAGCTCAAGGCCAGCCTGAACTGCATCGCAAGACCCTGTCTCAAAAAGACAAAAAAAAAA